GAATTAGAGACCGTCCTCAGCCCTACGCATGCAGCCCTTGACAGTGTGCTCTTTGGGCAGAGTTCTGGCCTCAAATGCACCTTCAGGAGCATTCCTTTGCTCAAGAGGCTGAGTATGGAGGAGGAGAGAAGACAGGCAAGGGAGGTGGGTTGCTCTGGGTTCCATCCTCACCCTCAATGGTATGGGGCCTTCAAGCTCTTTTGCCTCTCTCTTGGCCTCCTCGCCTATAAAATTCAGTCACACCTACTCATGGGGCAGCAGCTAGTCCCTGGTGATGGGCTCCACGAATGGAACCTCCTGGTGTTCATGTCTCTGTGTGGTCCCCGGCTATGCTAACTCTGGGTTGGCCCTGCCGCTGCCTGAACTAGAGTGCTGAGTCATGGCGGGCCAGTTACAGGCCTGATCCTTGGGAAGCTCGGCAGCTTCTGCCTCTCTACTTGTGGGGGCCTGAGCGTCCATGTAGGAAGTCCAGGTAGCCTTCAGGAGAGACCACATGGAAAATCCATGTGCAGAGGGAGAGGCCCTAGCACCCCAAGGAGAGACAGGCCCAGGTGTCCCAATGTCCTGACTGAGCCCAGCCTCCCAGGCACTCCTGCCAAAGCTCCAGGGAAGTGAATGCAGTCACCCTCTGCATTGGAGGTCCAGCCACTGCCACCACCTGACTGCAGCTGGGCGAGACCCTAAACCAGACCAGCAGAGGGACCCTCTAATTGAGCCCCAATGAACCCTTAGAATCATGAGAAATTCAAAAAATGCCTGTTGTTTTAAGCCCTGAGCTTGGGGGCAGTTTGCTATGCAGGGATAGATCACAAGACATGGGCATACCCTAAAGTGAGGAATGCCAGCTGCCTGCTCCACCCCCACAGTGAGGTCCGAAAGATTTTCCGTTAAGTCTCAACGCAGCTCCTGGCACATGGAGGGTGCTCAAAAATAGCTGGTTTTCTTATAAATAAATGCAAACAGGTGGTTTTCCCTCTGTGGTGCCCTAATTAGTCTAAACGCTGACTTCTCATGGGCCCTGGCTCCTGATATCCTTAAATCTTTTTTTATTTTTTATTTTTTATTGAGATGGAGTCTAACTCTGTCACCCAGGCTGGAGTACAGTGGCCCAATCTTGGCTCACTGCAACCTCTGCCTCCTGGGGTCAAGAGATTCTCCTGCCTCAGCCTCCTGAGTAGCTGGGATTACAGGCACGTGCCACCACGCCTGGCTAATTTTTGTATTTTTGTAGAGATGAAGTTTCACCATGTTGGCCAGGCTGGTCTCGAACTCCTGACCTCAAGTGATCCGCCCACCTTGGCCTCCCAAAGGGCTTGGATTACAGGAATGAGCTACTGCACCCAGCCCCCGATATCCTTAAATCTTGTTAACTCCATGGAAGGGGGCTTCAGGCGTGCCAGGCCATTGGCAGAGCCATGTTGCAGGGGCATCTCATTCAGCAGACATTTACAGGCCTGTTCTTATGTGCCAGATGCCACGCCAGGCACTGAGGCTCCTGCAGACGGCACTACAGACCAACCACTGATCTCATAGCTGGTACATGGCGGGGAGAAGACAGACACGGAATGAGAAGCTGTAAGTGTGAGTAGTGGTATGGAGAAGTGCAGAAAGGGGAGAGCTTACTTCGGTTTAGTTCAGCTGCAAGTGACGAAGACTAGAAACAACATCACTTAAAGAGGATACAGGTATATTTTCACCTAAGAGAAATACAGCCTTGGGCAGTCTAGGACTGACAAGGCAGCTCCACAGTCACTCATCAGAGTCTGATGTCTTTTTTCTTTCTGCTCAGCCCTCTTAGCTTGCAATGTCCATCCTCACATTGGTCCCAAGATGGATGCTGGAGCTCCAGCCATCATAGCCACATTCCATGGGGGAAGGGCAAAGAAGAAAGTTCCCCTCCTGGTTTAATTATCCCCCTTTCAAATAACTTTCTCTGAAGCATCCCTCTACCCTCAAAGTCTTCTGCTTACACCCACTTGGCTACAGATGTCTGGAAACTTGGGAAATGTAGTGCTTTAGCTGGACCTATTGCTGCCCCAATAATATAAAGGTCTGTCAGTCAGGAAGAAAGGGGAAAAGGTTTTGCTTGACAACTGACATCCTCCACCCCAGGGACCACTCCGAAGCGCAGAAGTGACATTTTTCAACAGAAAGAAAGTTTGAACCAATTAGATAAAGAGCATTAAGATGCAGAGACTCAACCCCCACAGAAAACCCAAAGGTGAGAAATCTCATGAATCCTTCAAGGAATTCACAGGAGTCCAGTGTGAACCTCTTCCCTCTCAACGTAATTCCCTCATCTGTTTAGCAGGAGCTTACTTTAGCTTAGGATCTGGGAAAACATGAGTCTCCCCTCCCACCATGAGAAGAAGCTGAGGTTACCATTCACCTTTGGGACTGAGTGAGTTTCCACTTTTCCCTGAGAGCAGACTTGACAGATGAGGGACATGGTGGAGCTGGGGCTCTGAGACGTAAAGCGGGGAAAAGGGGAACTCTTGAAACAAGGAGAGATGGATCCTTGCCTTCCTCTTCTGGGTTGAGGGGTCCAGGGGACTCCCTGAAGCAGCAGCTAGGGAGGCTACAGCCGTGAGACTTCTGGCAACTTCCAGGAGGACCCGGCATGCTGCTATCTGTTTGCTGATTTAGTCTAGTAAGTGCATGAAACAGTATTTTGAAATTACAATCTCCTTAGCTCTGGGGTCTATAGCAATGACTCCTCGAAATTCCTTTTGTTCTGATCTCACACATCAATTCAGCATGTGAGGGGGTCTGAAGGGAACTCAATTAGAAATGCAGGCTAGATACATGTTGTTTCCTTTCTCTTTTTCTTTCTCTTTCTTTCTTTTTTTCTTTTGCCTTTCAACACCTGGGGCTTGCCAAGCCCACTTCAAGGAAAGGGGCTGCATTTTAAGTTAGCCCTGTTTTCTGGAACTGGTGGGAACGTCTTCATTTTTTCAGGTTTCCGCCTGTGGTTACCTTGCAAGGCTTCTCAGCCAGGCCCTGCGTGTCCCCTCTCCCGCTGCATCCCGGCTTCCCCTGGCTGGATTCCCTAGCGCATCTGCTGTGGGCTGGGTGCCCAGTCGTTTTCCATTAATGCCTCTGGACAGAGAGGCCTACACAGCTGCACAGCTTGTGACGCAACGTACCCGACACATATACTCCCTGCCTGTCCCCGGCCAACCCTGGCCAGAGAGCCATCGGAAACTGGTGTTTACTGGGAAGTGATTTCACTTTGTAACACGGTGACCACAAGCCCCATTCCACTGGCCGACATGGTCCCAAATATTTCCTTCTCTCATGAACTTCCCATTCCCCCTGCCCCCACAATTGCTGTTTAGAAAAGTGTGGCTCAGGAAGGGGAGGAGAAAGTGGCAGCCTCATAATCTGGGAATGAAAGAGTCTTTGCACACTGTCATTAGAGGTCTGTACATATTGGACAAAATGTTGCTCTCTTGAAAAGTGAGTTATAACTCCTTAAATTTGCCCAGTCAGGATCTGACTCTCGTTTCTTAGAAGGCATTACATCGCTTTAATATGCAACAGTCTAACATAACATTAAATCATTTTTAAAAGTTTCATCTAGTTGATCCTGAGCCAAGGTATTCTTGGGTTGGGTTGCACATCCACCCTTTTGTTTTTTATATGGTTAAAAAGAAACACACGACAAAATACCTATCAAGTGATCTCACCCTTGCTGGTGTCCAAGAGTGATCTCTTGGCTCAGTGGGTCTCTTTGGTTTGTAGGGGCCCCAAAGGATGGCTTCATTTTCAAGACCAGTGAGTATTCTATGTGTGCCCACCACACACACCAGACTGCAGTGTGTGGGGGTGGGAGGAGGTGCCTGGGCCAGGTGCAGAATGGAAAAATCATGGTTTTCTAGGGATGCCAGGGACTTGAAGAGAGAGAGGCTAAGCCAGAGCTGGGAGGAGAGCAAGTGCTTTTGCCCCTTTTATAAGAGATGCTTCAGCAAAGCCTTCACCACACACATCCTCCATTTCCCTTCCACAAAAGGGGACCACTCCCTCACTGTGGCCCCACGTGAGGGCTGCTCTCCTGGGAGTCTTTGTCCTAACTCCTGCACCAAATCTTCTCTTTTGTTTGTCCTCCAGACCATCCTTGGAACCTTTCTTTATTTGTTTGTTTTTGAGACGGAGTCTTGCTCTGTTGCCCAGGCTGGAGTGCAGTAGCGTGATCTCAGCTCACTGCAATCTCTGCCTCCCAGGTTCCAGAGATTCTCCTGCCTCAGCCTCTTGAGTAGCTGGGACTACAGGTGCACACCACCATGCCTGGCTAATTTTTGTATTTTTAGTAGAGACGGGGTTTCACCATGTTGGCCAGGCTAGTCTTGAACTCCTGACCTCAAGTGATCTACCTGCCTTGGCCTCACAAAGTGCTGGAATTACAGGCATGAGCCACTGCACTCAGCCTCTGTGGAACCTTTAGCCCTCAGTCAACTCTGCTTGGGTTAGACTTGGGTGTTCGAATGCCTGTCTCCCCATAGACAGTAAGAAGGGAGCCATGTCTTGGTCACCCAAAAATCTTGATGGCCTTCCAGTGTCCTTTGGTGACTCAGTGAATGCAGCAGAACCCCTCATATGGAGCTGGGGAAGATGGGGAGATGTCGCTTCCATTGCCACCTCCCGCCTCCTGCCCAGTGCTCAGCCCAGCCCCACAGCCCCCAACCCCCAGGATCCCCACTTCTCACTTCCTGACTCCACTCCTGCCCAGGCCTTGTCCTGCTGGCCTGGGGATTCCCCCAGCTCACCTTGGTTCTTCAGAATATGTAGTGGGGGTGGTAGAGATACATCTAGGGATATCTGGTAGGTGTGACAACATCCTTCCAGTCTCAGCCACCTCCAGAAGCTGCCTACGCCCTTGAGACTAGGTGATGGTCGGGTGAAGGAGGAAGTGGTTAGGGAAGCAGAGACCCAGATGGCTGCCTGAGTCCTAGGTAGGATGAGGGCCTAGGGATAGAATCTCCCGGGAGCACTCTGAGGACTCACTGGATAATCCACACTGTGTCCTCCTCCAGGAACCTGGGCCCTCGAGAGCCTCCTCCTGGAGCCCGTGGATGTGAGCCACTCTGGCCTCTGACCCGATCCTGGACACGTCTAGCAGGGCTGGCACCAGCTGCCCCCCAGCAATCCACCAGCCGACTCCAGCCGCCGGGGGCCTGTGTTGCAAGCTGGGTCTCTTCCTGCTCTCCCTGGGCCTGGCCTCTCCTCCCCAGTCGGCTTGGCTGTTCTGGAAACAATGACTATGGACAGAAACGACTTCTCATGGGGGTTTTGGAAACCGCGGCTGGGCATCAGCAAACAGCTTTTGCACAGGGCAGTGGCTCCCGAGGAGACGCAGAAACGCTGGGAGGCTGGAGGGGAAGTGACAGAGACAATAGGAGGCATTGTGTCTTCTCCCAGGAAGCTCTGCTTTGCATTGCTTCCAAGAAAATTGACTCTGGGGCAGCTCCATCTATTCCAAAGCAACAGCTTTATGTGATTATGTTAGTCTCAGGCTCGGACAAATGCGCCCTTCCTACCTCATTAACAATGCCAGCAGGGCCCAGCTGTGCCATGGGGGGCTCCGTGCCCTAATTCATCAGACAAGGCCGAGTGTAGGAAGTCATAAGAACAATGCATCTTAGAGCAGAAGCTCTCTGTGGAGGGAGTGCAGCTTTGATGTGGGGCATGGCCCTGATTAGGGTTGACGGCTAGGGATGGTCCGTGCTCGGGAAGGTGGCATAAGCCCGGATGGCATTTGGGATGTGGGGTTTTGCACCTGGGTCTGTTGAAGTTTGATGAAGTTTAACACGTGCAAACAGTGGCTTTTGTTCTGCAGGACAAAGGCCTTCCTCGACCTGGGCCCAGGCTGAGACCTTGGTGGTGGCAACGTTTCCTCCCCGTCGCCTCTTGTCACTCTCCTTGTGGAAGTTTAATTAGGACAACGAGCTTTCACAGGCTCATTTCTCACTCCAGCAACTTTCTAACACTTCCTAACGAGGAGGCTGGAGCCTGAGGACTGTGGGGCGGAGAGGGGGCTGTGGGGCTGGCCAGAAAGACCGTTGAGGGGACTGGGAGGGGCTGGGGAAGAGGGGGTGCGTGGAGAGGAGCAGAACAGGCACAGAGGAAGCACAAAACCACAGTGGGTCCCTGGAGAACTGTGGATTGATCTGGGAAGAAGAGAAAATAAAACAAATCCTAACTGGTCTTTGTTTTCTGGGTGGCCAGACAGTAATTTCCCCAAATTCTCTATGGTTCTGGAAAAGAAAGCAAAGGATCAATCACTGTTGACTTTGTGGCCTTCAGAACTGGATCACATGGGCTGTTACTTAACACCTTAAACTCCTCTTACTGCCATGCAAGCCTTTCCCATCCACTGGGTTCTAAACAGAGAGGTTGTGATGACCTGGCCAAGCTCCCAGACCACTTCTGAACCAGGCTCCACACTTTTTATCCAGGTGTGGACATGGTGGAGTGCCTGGGTAGGGGACAGGGAGCCCACATCAAGGGTGTGATCCTGCTGACCTTGATGGAGATGCTGGCTTTCTTGGGCCTAAAGAGCATGAAGAACTGGGGGTGGAGGGACAGAGGATCCCTGTGTATCCTCACCTGCATCAGTCAGTATAGTTCAGGTTGTGCCACAGTAACACCCAAAATGTGGGTGCTTAAAGACCACACGGCTTGTTTCTTCTGCTGCTACATATCCATGGTGGGTCGGCTAACAGCTCTGCTCTACATCACCCCAACCCCTGGCCTCATTATTTACAACACTGGCAATTGGTTTGATAGAGGGAGAGAAAGAGGTTGTGAGGGCACCCTGGCTCCTGAAGTGCCCTCATGGGGATGACACACCCCAGTCTCGCTCAATTTCAAAGTTGTGTGGATATATGTAACTTCCAAGCCGGGGAGAGAGGTTATCCTACCGTGATTCTGGAAGCTAGAACCATAAATATTTGGTGAGTACTAATAACCTCCTGTTTTAGTTATCTGTTGCTGTGTAACAAATTACTCCAAAACCAAGTGGTTTAAAATCATAACCATTTATTTTTCTTACCTGGCAATCTGGGAGCAGCTTATCTGGATGGTTCTGGCTCAGAATTTCTCATGAAGTTATGGTTAAAATGTCAGCCAGGGCTGCAGGCATCTGAAGGCTTGACTGAGGCTGGAGGGTCTGGCTCCAAGATGCCACTCACATGGCTACTGGCAGGAGGCCTCATTGCTTTACCATGCGGATCTCTCCAATGAGCTGCCTGAGTGTACTCATGACATAGAAGCTGGTTTGTCCCAGAGCTAATGATATGAGAGAGAGAGAAGGAGAACAAGCAGGAAACTGCAGTGCTGTTTATGACCTCACACACATCACCTCTGCTTTATTTTATGCATGAGAAACAAGACACTAAATCCAGCCTACATTTTAAGCAGAGGGAAATTAAGCTCCACCTCTTGAAGAAATGAGCATCAAAGGATCTGGGGTCATATCTTAAAACCACCACAGCTACACAAGTTCCCCAGATGACTATCCGGATACTGGGACCAATATGCAGGGCTACAGGCCCATCTGGTCCTGGTTCAGCCCAGGCTCTTCATTTGTATCCAGGGCCTCTGTATCCTTCCCTGTCCCTCTCCAACTGAGACAGGAGGAGAAGCCCCAGGAGGGTAAGAGGAGGAGAGTGAGCACCTTTCAAAACAGTCTCATGGTAAACAGAGACAAAGAGAGAGAAGGAAGGGAAGCACGTGAGCCTTTGGCGTCTTTAAACCTTCATATTCTGTGGCTCCCTCTGCAAACTGAGGATACCCACTGATATCTGTGTAGGCTGTCAAGAGGTGCATTTGAAAATCTTCCTACCAATAGGAACTTCCTCCCTGGCTGAACACACTTCACCACTGGTGGGTGTGGCCTATTGGAGTCAGGGGTCTCTGCCTGAGCAGACAGAAATGCTCCTTTGTGCAGAAGGTGAGTGAGCAGGTGGGTTCCTCATTACCTAAGTACACACTAAACACACAAGCTTCCCGGGGGATGGGAGTCGATTTTGTGCTACAACAAAATATACCTATCCCTTTGAGTTATGAGTGAAACTTCAGGACTAAGGCTCTACTATCCACCCTGGTACATGTGAGACTCCCGGGAGCAATGTGAAACGATCAGAGCCAGAGATGGAGAGGACAGAGTAAAGGCCCTAAGAGAAAACCCAGCAGGAAGTCAGCGAATTGAGTGAGGGAGGCCAGGCGGGAGATGGGCAAGGCTTGCCTGGCCACAGGCCTGACCCAGAGGCTCTAGCCTGAGATGGGTAGGAAGATTTTCACACACACCCCTTGATGGCCCACACAGACGTCGGTGGGGCATCCTTAATTTGGAGAGGGAGCCGTGAGAATATCAAATGTAGAAAATGACCCCTCCCTGGTTGTTTAGAAAAGCTGTCAGGAAGGCCGGTGGTCTTCTGTTAACCTCCATCTCCTGTATTTCTAGAATGGCTGGAGTGGGTAGGGGAGGTGTTTTGGGTTCTCACCTTTCCTGGAATTCTGGCCTAGTGAGAGCTCCGTGAATGAAGGCTCCCTTCTGGGACCCTCGGGGGGCTGCGTGTAAGTGGGGAGGGCCGGGGCAGTGCCGTCCCAGAGGACGGGCACACAGAGTGCAGTGGGGCCACTGTGGACTGGGGAGGTTTGCTGGCCACGAGGCAGCAGATTTCCTGACATAGCCTTACTATTTACTTTTTGGTCAATAATTAGAAAAAGTATTGGAAAGAGAGAATATCTGGAATGAGGCCTAAAGAAAAGTTCGGGGGACTTACTGGAGCCAGTAGTCTTGTCCTACATGTGATGCTCTATGTGGCTGAGAACTGGGCTGGAGGGTACTGGAGTTGGCCTGACCCCAGGAAAGCCTTGTCTGTCCATGCACATGAGGTGGGAAGCCCCGAGGGACTGAGCTTCCCCACCAGAGCCACTGCCCCTTGTCCTGGGCAGCAAGGGTGGGAAACAGTTACCCCAGCAATGCCCCAGGGTCTACCAGAGCTTGTTCAGCCTGGGCCAGTTCCTTTCTTGGGGGTAGCTTTTTCCCTTTTCATCTTTTTTTTCCCTATCTTTCCTGCTACTAAGTCTTCATGTCCCCCTTTTGCAAACACTTGAGACTTTGCTTTCAATGATGAGACCGAACCCTTGTTGCCCATCAAAAAGTGGTGAATGAACTCCTGGTGGGAGTGATGAATGCTACAACTCATGGGAAATGGTTTGGCAGAATCTACCAAAGCTGCACATCCTCTATGGTCTGGGAAGTTCACTCTTAGCTATACACCCAAGGAAGAAAGTGCTTTCACCCAGAGGTGTGGATGAGAATGTTCATAGTAGCTTTATTCCTGGGAGTGATAACTGGGAAGCACCCCAATATCCACAAAAGGTAGAACAGATAAATAAATATTCACGCACAGGAACACTCACTGCAGTGAAAATGTAAGAGCCCAGCTCTACAGAGCATGTTCACAGTAGCTTTATTCCTGGGAGTGATAACTGGGAAGCACCCCAATATCCACAAAAGGTAGAACAGATAAATAAATATTCACGCACAGGAACACTCACTGCAGTGAAAATGTAAGAGCCCAGCTCTACAGAGCAACACAGATGGACCTCAGCCACGTACCCTCGAGAGAAAGAAGCCTGCCAGCCAAAGTGTATATAACATTCATAGCTCCAGTTACGGAAAATCCAAAGACAGGCAAAACCCTTCTGGGGGATAGAAATTAGGACGGTGGCTCCCTCAGGGGGGTCTTGACAGGGAGGGGTCTGAGGGTCTGAGAGCCTTCAGGGGCAGGAAATGTTCTATTTCTTGATATTGGTGGTGGTGACACAGACATGCAACATAGGTGAAAAATTCATCAAGATATGCCTTTCAGATGTATGCACTTCACTGTACACGTGTGATACTTAGAAAGTAAAAGAAAGGTAAAATAAGGAGCAAACAGGTTTTCTGTATGTTCTGGGCTTTTTGGAGATTTTAAGCGATGTTTCCTTAACAATGAAGGATTGACCATTCCATAAAAAAACAGTGTACATGTCACTTTGCCTCCTGGACTTTGGAGTCTTTCCAGGAAGAAATAATTTTAGGGGAAAGTGACACTCTAGTTGTAGAACTTTCTCCCACTGAGGAGGCGATCCCTGCCCCCTCCCCGCCCTGTTGAGGTTTGAGCAGCAGCAAATAGTTTCAACTTTCAGATGTCATCTTCCAAGCAAAGAGTTTTCATTATGGTCTAATTACCTTGGCTATTAGAAACAGGAAACGAATAGCTAAGCTATTGAACTTGGGGAAAAGAAGAGAATAGCTTCCTACCAATACTTTTAAAGCTTCAGAAAGATCACTGCCCAGTCTCCTCAGGGCTATTAGGTATGTTCAAACTTTGCGTAATTATATATTTTACAAAGAAACCAAAGAAAGAATGAATCCAAGACAGTGTCGTTTAAATCTTTCAGATAAATAAAAATAAATATGTGGTTGGAAGCTATAAATAAATACATTTTATATTTTAAAATGCCTAATTACATATTTGCTTAAGGAATTTCAGCACATTGTGGTAAAATTAATGTACATAGTATATTTCCCCCCTGAAAGATATAAATATAAAAACAAATATAAAATGCTCAATCTTTCTGATTGTGTAATGAGTTCCGGTCAATAGGAGTTCTTTTTCTTCACCAATATTTACGGTTTTTGGGAACATTCTAGGG